CATGTGTATATCATAGAAATACACAAATAGTGCTTTGAAATGAACACGCAATGGAACATCTGTTTGTTCAGTATCCATCAGGACCAAATTCGGGGGCTCTTTGGATGTCTTTGCCAATCTCCTCAAGATCAAATGGCTGCATGCCCAACCTTGGTTTTCGTTTTCTTTCCAAACTGAAAACAACTGTTAAGGATTGTCATTCTACATTTACATTGTAATGTATTGTTGTACCAAGGCTCTCTTGTCTATCAACATTTAAAAGTGGAGGGGGTAGGGGTAATGAGGGGGATCTGTGTGGAAATGAACAGTGCACTGGGACCATAAAGATACTATTAAACACTAACAGTGCCCTTAGTTGCACAAGGGTAATTTATAACAACATTGAAATTTTAGAAATGGGGTGGTTATTTAGGCATTTACTATATTCTGTTCCGCTTTACATTAGTGGTCCAGGCCCCCATACTAATTTTTTGAGCTTACTGGCTAAAAGCCAGAGAGCTTAATGCTATCGTCGGCATAAGAATGAATGATGGTAAGGTCATTTCTTTTTGTTCTTTTAAATGCAGTAACACATGACCTTCAGAGCCGAAGGGACTGGGTTCGATACTTACAATCTCCCATATTTTTTTTTTACTCGGTTTTATAAACCGTTGTTATGACAAAGAGGAATTTGATACTGATTGTTCTTAGGGCTTTGTAAAAAGTTTAAATGAGATATTATGCTCCGTTATTTTAGAAAAGCGTAAGGTGTTTGCGTCTGTGAGGAATAGTCTTTCAAATATCATTTTACAGGAAAAGACTTCTATTTTGACTTATAATTCTTGAAAAATGGCGTTTAGCCAAATTATTTCTTTGCTATTTCTATCCATTCGTAATTGCTTTATGTGTTGATTGAGTTTGACCAGTAACGAATATTTTTTAACCTTTGGTAGTATTAAACATTGAAAATCACATTGTGGGAAAATGCAAACAAACATCTGTCACTTTTACCATGTAAAATATCACAAATTTGCATATTTTTGAAACAACGGGCAGTTTTGAATTTTATCTTATGGTAATTTTGTTACGACATATGCGTGCTTACCCTTGGCAAGAAATTACACTAGTCCCTGAACGTATCTGTGAAAGTTTTAACTTTGTCTGTGACCGCCGGACCAACCTTACATGCTATAAAGCACTTAAAGCACGTAACACACAGTGACAATAAGTGCACGTGCTGAGAAGTCACTACTTAGGGCCTGTTTACATGGAGGTGGGGGACCACAGGAAGGTGAGGTAACCCGCTTAGGTGGGGTAACCCGTCTGTCCAAATAATCTCTCATTTTAACTTGATTATGTTTACATGATAGGTGGGGTGACCCGTCACATGTTACCTCACCTACCTGGTGTCCCCCACCCCCATGTCAACAGGTCCTTAACGTGACTATCTTGAAGAACGATTTTGCTTTGCAAGCACGTGGTTTTTGTACAGACTATTCATTGCCAGTAAGCTCATGTCCTCTCAGAGGACTATTTTTTGTTTATGCTACTGGTAACAACTAACAATAATATTGTAAATCCCACATAACCTGAACTAGCATTGTCATAATATAAAGGATACTACTCATCACATCTTTGTCGAACAATGCGCATGTGTTCATCTCTTATCTGTTTTTGAGTCTCTGGATCTGGCATAATGTACTCTACCATGAGTCTTGTTATTAAAGGCTGTTGAAAATACCACACACACACACTTATGGGAGATCGCATATATTCATGCACACTTATCAAAATGATGTATTTACTGTATTGCATAAAATTTTGTAGAGTTGAGACAGTAGGGCCATTTGTGCAAGGACAAATAAGGTGTGTCCTAAATAAGACACAAACTGTAGTGTATAAACGGCACATTTGTTTTAAAAAAAAACTTGACTCCGCTATAATAGTAAGATGCCTCTTGTCTAACAACAGGTGTTAAGGGCTGTTCTTAGAAAGGATGAATCTTGACTAAGTCAAGTCTTATTTCAAACAAAATGTGCCATTTATACACAACAGTTTGGATGTGTCTTATGTAAGACGTGTCTTATATTTTCCTTGGAATAAATAAATGGCCCCAATTAATGGGCCTTAATACAATTACGATGTAATGTAATTTACACATTGAAACTGGATATTCAGCAACTGAGATAAACCAACATTACTTACCTCTCTCATACCAGTCTCATCTGGTTCTTCTATTGAACAAAAGTAAACAACAAAAGAGTTTAACATTTCACTCAATGCATGCATAAATCTATTTTCACTGCTATGTAGGCTACATGTACAAACTAAATTATATACATGTACAGTTTGTTTTTAAATCGCTAAGCAAATAGGTGAGCTCTAGAAAAAGTTTCATTTTCTCACAAACCCAAGAAACAGTACACAACTAGTCCTGTAGGATACTGCTACAATGCTAAAATTTCCACTTCACTAATGTTTTACTTTGTGATTCTTGTGGCACAATTATGCAGCATATGATGCAATTTGTGTAGTGCAGGAAATTAGATACGACTGATAACTTAGTTATGAGTGATGCTGTACTCATAACATCTTAGAAAGACTCAGGTTTACTCCTACTCCCTCCTCTATATTTTTGCAGTTTTATTACTTTCATATGAACTTACCTATGAACCTTTCATAAAACAAACAACCAGCTACTCCACTTAGGAACACTAAAGACTAAAACAGGCAACAAAAGTTATCTTACACTTTTACAAGAAATATCGCATTTTTGCATGTACAGTAACTGGGGGATTTGAGAAAAAAGTTTAATTTTATCAATGGTCTTGATGAGGCAAATAAGCCACAGTGAAGGGATTCTTTAGTTGTCATTTCACTCTGAGAGAGAGCTACCATTCAACAATTTGGGGCGCCATGCAGCTCTTACAAGGCCTCACAGTATTGGTTGTGAAAACAGTAGACATAGAAATATAACAATGACTCTATCCCTAAAACAATGGAGCTGTGTGCTATGGAGAACCATGTGCTCAGGGCTATTCCATCTGCCATACACAGCAGGGTAGGGGGAGGGGTGGGTTGGTGGGATACATTACATGGAATTGCACTATTATTTTAAACATGCATAGTCTACAGGCCGGTGTCAACAAAAACTTACCAGCATCACTTAAATACTTACAGGCGTTTTCCAGTCAGTGATTATTCTTCTCAGTAAACCACGTTCCTTTTCAGTTGTGTTGCTAGTTACGTTCCTTACTGGCTGACTGATTCTCACTGCAAACAGCAAACAAAACAATGTTTTTACTCCCAGTCAGCTACAATTCTACTGTGTAGCTCTTTCAAGAAAGGACTAAACTTCCCCTGTATTAAGAAAACTTGCTTATCCGTTTCTCGGTCTAATAAATAGATGTCGAATACAAGAAAAACACTCAAGAACAAAAAATCCGTTTATAGCAAGTACTGTGTAGAGTCATATTGGTTAGCCATATCCACTTCAGAAAACTAACTTAAATACTTTGAAAACCTCTATTTCTGCCCGTAGAAAATCCGATTTAGTACAACTTTAAAGTGAAATTAACATAAAGATATCTACTACTATGAACAGATTGCCTTAACTTACAGGAACGGTGAGATATTTGTCCCAGTCGAGTCCACAACTGACCTCGAAAGGCGGCCATCTTGGATGTGACCAATTACTACTAGTTCCAACCCTCCGTCTTATCGCGCAAGTAACGCCTGGCGAGAACTTGCTCTTAACCAGACCCTCGCGACTTTCTCTGTACCGTTTTACGCCGTCAAACAGCTGGTGTCAAATTATTCTCCTTTTGATTGTCGCTTCTTTCCGACTTCTTTGTCGGCTGAGATTCTACATGAAACAACTTAACACGAGTACAGGTTGTGGATACACATGGTCAGCCTGGAACAGGCTAGGGTCTGATCAAGTCAGCTAGTTTGGTAATGGCGAAGGTATTTTTAAAATATTATGCCGGCGACTACGCACTTAGCCTTTCTGATTTCCTAGACGCTATTCCTGCAGAGCATCTACAAAAGTTTGGGATGAAAGTAACTTGTAACGTCTTTTGTATGTTTTCGTCAGCCTCAGTGCAGTCTTCAAGCTGTCCTTCACTCCAGCTTTTGGGGACATCATCAATTCATCACCATCATGCCAGCACATGGCCGCCTACATATCAGTGTCCAAAAGTCTTTATGTGCTATAGTTAAGAGGACCTTCTCAACCTTGATTCGTTTACACTGGTTTTACTGCCTTTCAAATTCCAGGTAAGTTAAATTTTCATTCAAACTCTTTTCACACCACCGCGACCATTTTCTGTTTCTCCTCGGCATAGTCATCTTATAATAAATGTTTGTCAGTGATAATCTGGTAAAGTATAAAAAATTTAACACATTTCTTACTCCATAATGCCTCTTCCAGTAGAAGAGATTCTCTTCTCCTCCCCTCGCCCTCCCCCACCCCCTTTCCCCATTCAAGGTTGTCCCTTCAAGTGTTAGCCTGTGTACAGCCGTCCCCTCCCCTCAAAAAAAAATTGGAGGGGCATCTGTGATTCACCTTTGCTCATCTTGTATGGAGGCCATGTGATATTTCCTGAAATGTGTGGAAAATGATTTGATTGGGTGCTTCTCATAGACCACTACATCATGTAAATGAAGATTTTGATTGGCTTTAGTGCCTGTCATCAAAGCATAGCAGGCAATCAGAAAATTATCCCATTCATGGACAACTACACGAATACAGCTATTCAGCTCCAGGGATTTCAGAGAAAAGAAAAGAAACTAAACATCTTTATTGAAAGGTTCTTTAGCCTTACTAAAAAGCTTTAGGTTTTTAAGAGGTCAAAGAAAAACAATCAAATCCTGTCACAGCAACACACCTACAGAAACATAAAACCACAAGAAATACATGTAATAACTCAATTCGGGGGTCATAAAGCTGGAATGTCTCATGCATATTTAGCCTGCAAAGTGCAGATGTATTTCTGGTCGTCACTTTTTTTGGAGGGAGAGAAGCGACGGCCGAAAATACATCTGCGCTTCGCAGGCTAAACATGCATGAGACATTCCAGCTTCATGACCTCCGAATGCAAGAATTAAAGGCAAAAAATAAGATTTGTTCAGGCAAAGTTTATGGTACCCTATGCATTGGGATACATAATCTACCCACAAGAAAGAAACGAAGGAAAACCTGTGTTGCTCAAGCAAACTCAAAGGTCACGTTTCACACTGTCACCAGCTTATGAGTTGTGTATGACCTGTCAACAATTTATTTCAAACTAATGACTTTCTGTTTCCAGTGGGAAGGCTTGCATAAGATCGTAGATCTTTTCCTTTAGTCGCATGCACCGGCATTTTCAGACATGAAACTTGAGCTACGGAAATTTTAGTTGGCAGAAACTATTGTTTTTAATTTATGCAAATTATTCCCATGTACAATAAGCAACAGTGAACACCAACACCCCTTCTCCTATTTTTTCTCAGGGGAGGGGGCGGCTGTACACAGGCTAGTCAAGTTAGGGTTAGGGTTAGGTTGAATTCCATCCTGGAAGCAGGCCTTAATTACAGCTTAAATAAAAGGAAAGATGGGCTTGAATCATGCAGAGCCTCAAAACTCTGCATCTACCTGTGGTCTAAATTTTCTTACATAATTTAGTTGTAAGATCCAGCAATTTGAAATCTCTTTTATACTGAAATATGATAGCCAAGACAAACAAATGGGCTATAGATTTTAAACAGTTCATTTACAGTACTAGAATAATGGACATACAGGGTGAAAACAAATATGGTGATGCCTTTTTTAAATTGTATTTTTTCAATGCCCTATACATGGCTATCATTAATTGCTAATGATTATTGTGTTAAATTTCTTTAAAAACTTAAGGTAGTATGTTTTTTCAAAGGGGAACTACCTTAAAGATAAAAAAAACATACATGTTGGTGCCCTGTACTCTGAACCAGTGAAAGATTTTCTGAGTCTTGTTCCACCTGAAATTATTCTGTGGTATAAAACAGGTTTCTTTAAGCCCCATGCCAAAAAAAATGCAGAGCACTTTCTTCTTTCTTGCTTTCTTTTTGTTTTGCTTTTGTTTTTTATTTTATTTTATTTTTTGAGATGTGTTAAAATTCTAAAGACAGTTTGATAAAAATGCTTCAAAATTAACTGAAGGGGTATTTAAAGTAAAGCATCCATCAGATATACAGGATTTGTAAAGCAGAGTCTGTGTCACAGTGATTTGCCTTTATTCTTCCTGACACTACTAAAATTGTTTGTTATTTGTGCATTCTGGTATGACATTTTGTTTTATCCTCCTGTCCCAAACATAAATGTTTGTACATACACTGTATATGTTTTAGTGGAGGCATATACCTAGCCTTATGAATATTGGAACTAAGGTGTTTAACTTGGCTGTACAAAGATATTATGGGAATAGATTAGACCCATTGATTAATTGAGTTCAATCAGTATAGTCAGCACAATCGTGTGTTTGTAGTGTCATTGTGTTTTTGTCTGAAATGCACGCATGGTGTAAAATACTAGCAAACCGTACATTAATCATCCTGCTTTTCTTTTATTTGAATAACCTTCGTTTTCCGCTGTAAACCTCTAAAAGCGAACACAGCTGAGCGAAATTTTCCGAGCCCAATCTTGCTGTTGCCATCTGCATCCTCGTGCTGATTTCCAGCAGGTGCTACTTTGTTTCTTGCTACCATCGCCGCTCGCAGGCGCTCCAGCTGCTCTGAAGTTTGACGTTCAGTGCTGTGATTTACCGCGTGCTCACAGAGATCTGCTCCTAGTCTCTCCTCTTCCTCAGAGAATCTGAAGTGGATGAACTTGCCGATGATGTAGAACTGGGCAAAGGCGATGAACGCTGACCAAAGAGCAATCGTCAAACAAGCCAACAGCTGCACCCCAAGAAGTCGTATGTGGCCACCTTTGAAGACCCCGTATGTTTCTGAGAAATCCTCTAAGCGATCTAACTCGACAAAGAAGGCGACAGCTATCATGCCCCACAGTGCCCCACCAAGGTGGGAGGGTATGCATCCAACAGGGTCGTCAATCTTCAGCTTTTCCAACAACATCCAACCCATCACTGAAATCACGCTGCCGATAAATCCTATGAAAATGCTCTCCCCGGGCCGTGCGACGGCACAGATGGCTGTGATGCTTACCAGGCTTCCGAGAATTCCTGACATGAGAGTGGGAACATCGACACGCTTGAGGTAAAATACACTAAAAATATGAGCGAAAATGCCACCGCCTATGGAGGCATTTAGAGTGCAAACAGCGGATCGGGAAGCTAGTTTCCACTTACCACCACTGACCCCAAACGTACTGCCGCAGTTAAAACCAAGCCAACCCCACCAGAGCATGAATGTGCCCAGCATAACATTGGTTGGAGAAGCCATCTTTTGTTGTCGGCCATCGCCTGTAAATTTGTTTCTTCTCGACTTTAGCATGATTGTCCCCACTAAACCAGCCACGCCTCCAACTAAATGCACCGGACTAGCTCCACCAACATCGATAACACCCAGCTTTTTAAGCCAGCCATGATTCCCCCACACCCAGTAAGCAGGAAAACAGAACGAGAGCGTGTTTGTGAAAGAAAACACCATGTACGCTTGCAAATTGGCACGTTCCGCAATGGCGCCTGATACGATGGTTGTCGCAGTTGTTGCAAAAGATGCCTGAAAGAAGTACAAAGCGTAAACGCTGCCCATTGCCTCGTCTTTTGCGTCAGCGAAAAAGTTAGCTACGCCAGAGAAGGGGTTTGTGAATCCCTCTGACTCTCCTCGACTGAAGGCGAATCCAAACATCCAGTAGGATAAGCCACCGAAAATTACATCCAGGGCATTCTTGACCATGATGTTGGTTTCATTTTTCTTCGATACCATCCCTGAATAGAATGAAGAGATAAAGCAAATTAATCTTCTTTTCAATCACTTTTTATTTTTATTTTTCTGAACTATGTGGTGTCATAATTTAAACCTAACAGACCTGGGTGATGTCTAAAACGATTCTGATTATACTGTTTTAAAACTACTATAACTAAAAGGGTTGTTGGACAATACTTTTCCTAGGTAGTCATATTCGTTCTCTCATTTTTTTCCACAAAGCCTGAATTTTATTTCTTTGGTTACGCATTTAGTCTTTGATTCGACAGCCAGTAACATGAACAGGACATTTACGTTTAAATTTTGAAATTCTTAGAACTTTCGATGAGGAATCCTCCCGCATCAGACGCGTAAAGCGTCACAACGCTTCAACTGAAGCAGATTACAGAGGAAAAAATTAATTATTCCCGTTGTTTAATCGATTCCTAATTTCCGGTTTTGTCCCGATTTTTTTTCGGCAATAAAGATCTCTTTTCAGTTAAATGACACGAACTAATTATTTGATGACTAAGGCCAGGGTTAATCCTATTGCTTTTATATAATGCGATCAAACTCAAACAGACGAAATGAAGGTTCTTATGTAATACGCCCATTCAGTAAGTCAACTCTCTGAACCTTACACTGAACACTGAGGGTTTAACGAAAAGACCTTATCACCGTTTAACAGTGTTTGTATGAGAATCTTATGTGGAATAATTTTCGTAAAACGGCGGCTCTGAAGAAAGTAGGAATTACAAACTAAAGCTACACACCGAAGGATTCCTCAGTCTACTAACAAATTTTGGGAGCCGTACCTGTGCTTAACGGCCGTTTTACGGAAATTTTCGACATTAGATTCTCATACAAACACTTTAATTTCTCACCCGGTTGGCTACCCGTTAAGATAGCCTCCAAACCCGTGAGAAGGTCTATTGACACCTTAAGGTTAAACCTCACCAGATTCAACTAGACCAAATCCAGATATCATGGTGAAAATAATAAACGCGCTTGTTAAAATCCACACTGCATCTCCAGGACCAACTTCACCAGCGTCATTCTCGGCCTCAGTAGCAGCAGCTTGGGTGACATTTCCAGATATGTTCATGGACACCATTTTGCAATAATGTCTTGATTTGATGCACCAAGAAATACTTTCCTGAATAAATCAGCGAGTTCACCAAAAGTTTGCGACCTTGCAGACGAATGAAGAGATAAAGGAGGCTTTTCGATTTGTTGATGATATGATAAATAATGCATACGTGCATTTCAGTGGGTGAATCTGTTTATGTTAAGTCTATTCAATTTTTTAGGCTGAACAGTGTTTTTCGATTTTGTAGAACATTTTTATCCGGGGTACAGCACAAAACGGCGGGCTTTTAGATCGGCATTCTCTGATTTCTTTATAGTGTGATTTCCTGTTCTAAATATATATTTTTTCTTTTTACTTTTTAATCGTTTTCATTTTTTATAATAGTTCAACGTTACTTAACCATCGCATATAATAGAGTGGAAAATCAGGATATTTTCGTCTCCTAAGCGAACTTTATGTCATGTCAGTAGGAAATGGTCAAATTGGCATGTCTATCTTCTGAAACTGGGAGAATGGAGTTTATACAATATGACATTAGTTCCTTATCGTCATATTTCTAAGATACCCAAAAAATCGCAAAATTGGAACCCTGATGAGAGAACAAAGCTCGCGATAAGGTATTTGGAACAGTGCTGAATTTGCAATTAGTGTTATAAGAACAGTGGCAGTGACAGTGACAGATTGTTGCCTTCAAGTTGCTACGATTTGTTATGGTCTAGTTTTATTCATCATCCCACCCCCCGCCCGCCCCCCCTCCGCTCTCTCTCTAAGGGTCAATTACGGAGATATGTTTTAACCGCCAGTTCTAACTTCTGAGTTTGTGGATTAAATACTATGGTGCAACTATATATTCAAATGAAACCACTTTAACAGTACTTTTAGTTGGTACCATATTTTTCTTGTCTTGTGATTTTACCAGACAAAATTTAATATTTTCCCTCACTTATGATTTTTGCGTTTGGTTACGGCTATCTATATGTACAGGATTATTAAAAGTGGTAAACTTGAAAACCATGTTCTACATACGCTCGACAGCTAGCCGTTGTCAGTGTAAATGGAATCAACTGAGATTGAGGCACTCTGTGCTCAAGTTTGCCTGAAGTTTGTAATACGTTGTAACCCTGCTGCTGTTTAAACAATAGAAACACCACCTTCTCAAGTTCAAGCTGTGGAATCTAGACGCTTCTGCCGGGTGGGGGGGAGGGGGGAGTGTTCAAATCTGCCATAATCTTCTCAAGAAATAGAACATAAGTCACTTTTAAGAAGCAAATTTATAACAACTTATACCGAATTTATCTCAACGGTCGTTTCTAAAGTTAACGTCGGCGTTGTTACAAACTCCATTTCTATTATTGATGCGAAAACAACTGCCGATAAAAATAGCTTTAAGAAATAAAACAAAGAAAAATAAAGTCATGGATCTTTTTTTTGTTTCTGGCTCATTTCGTTCATAATTTATAACGAGTTTACGAGGTCGCACCACACGACAAAAAGGACGTCTAAAACCCGCTTGAGTTTTCTAGACTGGTCCGTGGATACTCTGGTAAAAATTTCAAGGCTTTTGATATGTTAACTCTGAGTGTGAAAGCTGGGGCCTTCTTTGTCTATACTTTAGCGTGATGCGATTTTTTTTCTCGCTTAATAATTTTTGGAGCGTATCATTTCTGGGCCCAACTGTCTCATTCTGTTCTACTGACAAATAGTGCAAAATTTATTATGTTTATTGTTGTCTATTTTCGATACTGACTAATTTACAAAAGTTTCTTTTTGGAAGCCCTCCGACTGTCCCTAATTTCAATGGTAGCTGTAAATCGTTTAAATAATTCTATAAAAGTAAGGACGGTTGACCACTGTTTCACTACTTGGAATTATGATTCAACTAGCTATAAATCTAGATATTTTCTAGAAAAAGGAAAAAGAAAATATATGCGGCAAAATAATTACGATAGGAATTAATATTGTGTTTCTAGTTTTGATTTCCTTAACAAAACAACATGGCAGACACAGGATATAGCGACAAACAATCAAATAAGTCTGAAAATTGTTGGATTTATTAAAAAGAAACAAGTACCGCTAAAACTTTGATAGATACTTCGTCGGCCGCCCTTAACTTATATTATGAACCGATAAAATTTATCTATTTGTATTTTCTGTCCGTTTTATTATTTAAAATTTGATTCCGTAAAAGATGTTACAAACTGGTATTTAAATGACCCCAGAAACTGAAGGGATATCCTCAGTATCAAGGAAAATAACCGATCAATCTTGTTTTGTGATTGTTAAATGTCTTTGTTGAATGAGTTGATTGAACATCATTTTTATCACAGCAATTAACAAATGAGGAAAGTTTATCTAGTGAAAATTTCTGACTTGTTATGATAATTTGCAAGGTTATAATCAGTAGAAATCATGGGTTTTCGAGCCAAAGAAATGTGAGAATTGTTAGCTACGATAGTGAGTGGTAACAAGCATAAAAGCCAAAGTCTCGATCAGAAAAATGTCTTTGTTTCCAATGAATAAAATGTATGAATCATTTATGAGCAGTGACCTAGCTACTGCAGGAATAACCCCGATTTCAGCCAGAGCGTTATGGCTGCTAACGAGAGCACAGAACGTCCTTTAGAGGGTTTAACGGGGAGACCAATCGGTTATGACGATGCCACATGGATTCTTACCAGCGCCTTCATTGTTTTCACCATGCAATCTGGTTTTGGCCTTATCGAGTCAGGTATGTATGCAACTAAATTTAATTAAGAGAAAACCGGCAGTACGACAATCAAATTTCTATAACTGTAAACTCGGGCCTGTTTCTCGGAAAGTCTCCATAGCGTTTCGGCCCTGGAAAGCTCTTTCTGTGTTTATACTCCAAGGATTCAATAGTTTTGCATATTACATGGTAAAACTATCGACCAGCTCTTTCACGATTTAGAGTTTAAAATGAGGCTTGATGCCTGCAAAATTTTCCGGGTCTTTCGAGAAACAGGCCCATAGAGCTAGAAATGGGACGAAAACTTTCAAAGGTGTACGAAAGTTATTTGTCTTTCTTCTAAGCACCTATTAGCTGAAGAAAACGTAGAAATACCACATTAAAAACTTTCATATTTGTTGTTTGAGGGCTATTTGTGTATGCCTTCATTTTCTTTTGAAAGTGATTCGGTTTGGCTGCTTATAAATTTAGATTTAGACTGAAATTTGTGACAATGACATAAGCAAACAATCAGAACCCAATTTTGGTCGTTGAGTTAATCCCGCTTCTTATGAAATGCTTGATCAAGAGTTTTTTTTTTTCTTTTTGAATCTGGATTTTCTTGTCGGTAATATTCAATTTCTTTATTGTTTAGGTATGGTCACGATTAAAAACGAAACCAACATTATGGTAAAAAATGCCATCGATATCATATTCAGCGGCTTATCGTTCTGGATTTTCGGTTTTGGTTTGAGCTTCGGTATCGACGAAGGCACGAATGCTTTCTCGGGAGTCGGCTACTTTTTGACCGAAGTTCCCATGGATAAAGGACAGGTGTATTCAATGTACTTCTTCCAAATGGCGCTAGCATCAACAGCGACCACTATCGTTTCCGGAGCAATGGCGGAGCGGACAAACCTGAAAGCGTACATGCTGTATTCGTTTGTCAGCACTCTCACTACCTGTTTTCCAACTCACTGGATTTGGGGAAAGAATGGTTTGCTCAAGGAACTCGGGGTCATTGATATTGCAGGATGTGCCGGTGTGCATCTGGTCGGAGGTGCCGCGGGTTTTGCAGCTGCCTTCATGTTAGGGCCCAGGACGGGGCGCTTTGAAAATGACAAGAAAAGGCCCCAGCCTTGCTCCATGACTAATGTTCTACTAGGGACCTTCATGTTGTGGTGGGGATGGCTTGGGTTTAACTGTGGAAGTACATTTGGTATTAGTGGATGTAAGTGAATAATAATATAAACTTTCTGTGTTAGCTATCGTTGAAACTTGATTAAACGTCGAAAACAATCTTGTTCTGTGAAGAAACGGGGGAGTTTAAAGACGGCCTCCATAGGAAAAGATCAATTGCATTTTAAGAAACGCGTCGACAAATTGGATTTTGCCAGTTAAACCCAATCGAACAACGTCATGTTTATTTTAAAAAAAAGTTACATTTTTATTTGAACTTAATCCTGTAAAATTCTTTATCTAGAATTGGTAGAAATAATGTCGGGGAATACACAATCATACTTAATGTATGTGCCTTTCAATCTTTTCTTTTCAGCTAAATGGAAGCTAGCTTCCCGGTCAGCGGTAGCAACGCTAAATGGCTCAATCGGTGGTGGTATTCTTGCCATAATCTACAGCTACATCAAAGATGACGAGACACTCGATGTGCCCATATTTGTCACTGGCATCCGAGGGGGCCTGGTGTCAGTAACCGGGATCTGTGCCCTTGCAAGGCCATGGGAGGGACTGGTGATAGGCTTTTTTGGAGGGCTTTTCGCGTGTTTGCTGTCGGACTTGATGATCAAGCTCAAGATTGATGATCCCGTGAACTGCGTTGCCACTCATGCTGGGTCAGCGGTATGGGGTATGATTGCTGTTGCGCTGTTCGTTGAGCAGGAAAAAGATGAAGGATTCTCACATGAGCATGGACTGTTCAAGGTGTGAATATTTGCTATTGATTTGTACCAATTTTGATTCAAACTTTTGCGGCTCATTGATCACTTTAGTAACAAGAAGGAAACAGAGCAGAGTTAACTTTCGCAAAGACTTCTGGGACTGTCCCTGGGGACAGGGGAATGGCCAATGGCTAACCGGTGCATTGCCAGTAACGATCCCAGAATCAATTGCGGGACACATTTCGGCTCCAGTCCCCTTCAGTTCTCGTTACTAAAGTGGCGAATTAAACTTTAAAGCCATTAGCAGAATCGCATCAACTGCTTTCTGGTGAAACTTTGACGCAGAAAAGATACAATCTTAGCGGTTTAACACATTTTACTGTGCAAATATTCAAAGATATTTGCATCATGTCACAGCAAGAACGCTTTACTTGAAGATCTCTTTCACGTGGTAAAAAGGTGTTTGCTTTTGTTGCGACAAAGCTGCGTACAACGTTGTTTGTACTAACTTTTCCCTTTTAACACAAAGGCGCAAATTAACACTTGATCATTTTATTTTGTCCCTTGCAGGGGGGTGGCTGGCGGTTGCTTGGAGTTCAACTTCTAGCTTGCGTGCTAACAGCCTCCTGGGCAGTCGTAACAACGGTAATGCTACTGTTTGTCATCGAGAAGACAATTGGAATACGGCTTACAGAAGAAGAGGAGAAGGAAGGCTGCGATTTGGTGGAACATGGAATCGGAGAGGACAGCGAGGATGAAGATGTCGAGAAGAGCAAGCCGCAACGAAAGAGAGGCAAGGCCTTGTTTGCTGTGTTTGGAAGGAAGGCAACTAATGAGGTAGAGGAATTCCATGCTGACGATGAGGAAGATCAAGAAGCAAAAGAAATGAAGAGCAAAGGACCTTTTGTTGTGAAAATGCCAGCGATCGCTCGTAGCATTCGACGCAAACGCATCAGCAACAATCACCACGACACTGGGGGGAGCACTGCAGCCATTGTTACTGGCGAAGCAGACACAGTGGTAGATAAGAAATGTCAGCAAACGTCCAATGGTAACAAGCAAGCGTTTTGGATGAGACTACCATCTATTGCTCGGAACCTCCGGCGTAAACAGGAGAACAAACAATGTTCTAACGAAGAACCAAATGCCACCTGCAGTTCCTCCTCAACAGATACACATGGTCAAGACGAAACAATGGAAACTGCGAGTAAACCCCGTCGCGCAACAATTTCCGAACGAGCTGATAGCGAAATTTTACAAGCATCCGATGATCTGCGGTCAATCTTGAGTACAGAGTCAGATATCGAGGAATTGGTTAAAGCCGAAAAAGTACAAAAACGTTATCCCATGTTTGACCAAAAACGAACTGAAGAAAAATGTGTACAGGTTGCTTGTGAGCATGGTGTGCTTATAGAAATGTAAAAAAGAAACTTATATGCAGAAACTGATAATTGCCGTCGACTAACTTACAGTGCGTATTATTTTTATCCCCTTTTTGACTGATGATGTAAGTGAGCCTCAGAATGGAAACTATTAGTAGATTTTAATCTACGTCTGTACATGGCTACTATTTTTTAGAGTGCCACCAGGCCTAATAATCTTGTGCCAATGTCAATTGTAGAAGCATTGTCCTATTAAACACTCCATAAACTAAAGGAAGAAATGGAAACAAGATTTTGTACCTAAAGCGAACTATATAACACTACTTCAGTAACTCGGAGAAACGACTGGATAAAATTCTTGAAGAAGATCAAGTTTTAACGTTCACAATTTCATAACAGAGAATAGTTAAAGAGTTTGTCAATTTTTTTTTTGGCCGCATGAATAACTTAAATTAATATAATCATTTAGATCTATTTATTTACTTATTTACTTTAAATAGTGATATTATTATCTATGTAGTCTGCGCTGCGGTAGTGGCCAACTCGAAAGCTTCTCTTCTCCGACTGCTACGCGCTGTTCTAACGCAATGCATAATTCAACATTGTATAAGTTAGTTCTGTTTTTTACTCTTACTATTATTGAATATTATTTTGATTTGAATAAGTGTGATTGCAAAAAAATAACTTGAACTTGAACTTGCCTCCCGAAAAGAAAATTAAAGTTTGTTGTTGTTGTTGTTAATGTTGTTGTTGGCATCCGTCTGTCTCACGAGACAATGGAATCAGCGCCAAGGTTTAGTCAGTGGTTAAGGTCCGCAGTTACAGCTTCTCAACCAGCAGGGTTGATATTTGCCCGCTCGTCAGATCTCGTTTACAAACATCTTTGAAACGAAGGGAAGGTTTTCCTGCCGGTCTAGGTCCAGCGTCGTAGAATATGTCCTTAGAAATTTTCCCGTCCTCCATGCGGCTGACATGACCGAGCCAGCACAGCCATCTCTGACTGAGCAAGGCGAACATGCTAGGTACTCCCGCCTACGTTAATTTATAGGAATAAATTAGTTTACCGTACTATGATTAGATTTATAAATACTACGCTTATTCTACTCACAGAGTGGTAGCTTTCTACGTTTTTACCGAAAGAGGACATTTTTGTTTTAAGTATAGCAATTTTCTTAATGATATATATTTTATTTTATTTTATTTATTTATATTTAGATCTTTATTTCTTAACTCTTCTTAATGTGTAAAACGTTGAAGAGTAATAAAGTAGATGTAAATGTTGGCTACGTGGTTAGAATTGAAATTTACAAATTTAAAACCATCGCCCTATCAATTCATAGCATTTACTCTCGAAATTGTTTTGTTTCCTGACATCCCATAAGAATTTCAGAAGTGATTCTTCTAACCAGTAGCAATAAAAAAGAACGATTAATGCATCGATACTGAAAAAACTAATAACTACACTCTGCAAAACGTTGCTTAGTCTCGTCATCTTCATCACATATTTTTTGAAAAGCCACATTTCCAGAATATACTTACTGTTCTCGGACCCTAATCTATTAATTTTCGTTGCCCCTAATATACGTCGATCAAAATAAACTGCTAATTTCCAAATCAAAAAAGACTTTATAGGGGAAACCCAATTACTGGTAACCCAGTAGTTTTTCTCGTGGCCCTCAAATAAGGACAGAAACAAACATTTGAAATTAAACATAAGAAGGTTAAGATTCTCAACTGGCCAGAGACAATCCAGTTGGCTATTTACAAGAGAAGCCGAGGATTTGAATTCGGGTAGACACCGAGAACAAAGTCAGCTAGCGGCTAAGGCCGGCGGGAATTGAACTTGGTGTCTCTGGATCTGCCTCCTCCACATGCTTTCAAAAGGCTTAGTAGACAAGCGCGGAACGTTAGATATCTGCCAAAAAGTGATCGCGAGCGCCGGCCAGCCACGCTGCCTCCTTCAGCAACGTAGCATGTTAGTGCAAACACCACAAACACCTGTTATGTTTCACTGCTTCCGGAAATTTTTCAAGTCACCAACACTTAGCCTGTATGCACGATCATCATTCGCCGGCGTTAGAGTTATAATTACAGGCGTTTTTCTTCTAAAAGGCGAGAATGAGCTCCTTGCTTTCCTTTGCTCTTCACTGCCCATGCTGTGAAAGGTACTAAGTTCTGTTGTGGATTCAAGAGCTCTTCTCCACCTCTTTCTACTAGAATCAGTTGAAATGTCGCCGTTATCGTCTGGTTTGCATCCATCTTGGGTAGACTGGATGATGCCTGGGATATCTGCATTTCTTTGTAGAACGCCATCGCTTGCTATTTCATCATAAGATTCTTGATAATCTACCAACTCAGTGTCATCGATTTGGTTCCCATTGTTGTCGTTAAATCCTTGTTCTGCACTTTCCAGTCTCTCACCTGTCTGCTCTGGGACCACTTTATTTTGCAAAGCAGGAACTGGCTTCAAATGACACTCAGCATTTATCTGCGATTGGTCGATTCCATGTTCACAAGCGTCCGCTCCAAGTATTTCCTCTTTCAGCGACAATCTGAGCCCAACAGACTTGTCAATGATAACAAGTTGTATTGTAACAGTAACAAGAGTCCACGCAGTAATGGCCACACATGCCAACAGCTGTACTCCCAGTATTCTAACATGGCCTCCCTTGAAAGCACCGTATGTTGATGAAAATGGCCTCTGAAGGCTGTCTTTCTCTACAAACAGGCCAACAGCTATCATTCCCCATATTGAACCACCTGCGTGGGTGGAGACTGCGCCGACAGGATCATCGATGTGGAATTTGTTGAGAACTTGCCAGCCAAAGATGGCGATAGCTGAACCAATGAAACCAATAGCCAAACTCTCCCCAGGCCTCACGACCCCACAAATGGCCGTGATGCTGACCAGGCTACCAAGTATACCCGCCATAAAGAAAGGAATGTCCAACCTGCAGAAGAAATTTTTACTAAGTATAGCCGTTTCTATGGTAATGAGATGAAATAAGCGACGTTCTGCGTGGCTTGAATGTCGTTTGCATTCATTTGATAGTTCTCAATGGTAACAGAACAAAACATCAAGGAAAACACTAAACCCGTGGTATAGCCAATACCCTCTCTTGCGACGAACCATGATCACCGCACAGTGGCAGCCATGAAGAGCGGTTTCTTTCTTGTTGATACTCATCGGTAAGACAAGAACACGACCCCCTTCAACGCCCTGTGTACTTGCCCTTTACTGTCGAAGCGACTGCTACACAACTATTTACTTACTGAGTTTGTGTTCGAGTTTCTTCCTTGCTGATTTATTTTGTTTCTTGGTTAGTCAGAGTTTTTTCTTATTACAAGAGACAATGCAACAAATACAAATGTGGCGGACCTCTCGAACGGCCTGGGTCTAGCTGCGCGAAAGGGAGGCTAGCGAGGCCTCCAGAGTTCTATTTTTGGCCTCTTGCTCATTGTTAAAATTTTGCATCGAAATTTTTGTACGCTGTTATGGAAACTATTAATTGATGAAAAAAAATTACCTGTTGCATTTAAAGTAGCTGTAGAATGTAGCAAACATTCCGCCACCACAAGAGGCATTTATGGTACACACTGCTGACCGTGAAGCAAGTTTCCATTTACCACCGCTGACCCCAAAAGTGCTGCCACAGTTAAAACCCAGCCAGCCCCACCAAAGCATAAACATACCTACACGAAAAAGTAATTAATAACAGTGAAAAAAGTATCGTCGTTAACTTGTGCATAATAACAAAAGTCAGAAAACAAAAAAATGAAAAGTAAAGTGAACCAAAATATAGGAGAGGAGTTCAGTAAACGAGAACAAAAAGGGTCGCAAGGGCATTTTAGGCACAACTTTTTGTCTAAATGCGGAGGTTAAGTTGTAAAGGTCATCAGAAGGTAATTCAATTTTTCTTTACGTGACGTGTTGAAACTGTCAAAGCTAGTCGATAAGTCTAGTCATTTGTCCGGGAAACGTATGGTGAACGCGCCAATGGACCTGTTTTCTAGGCCGATTTCATCTCTGCGAGACCCTTTAGGTTAAAAATTGGCCCGGTTAATCCCTCTTAGTGCGTAAAGTGGCCGATATGTTGGGACTACATATCACCCTGTAGTCAGTGTCTGGCCCCTAGGTAGTAGGGACTCGCGAAAATAAAACAACTCAAGCGAAGATAGCACGCGCGAGATCTGGAGAAGAGAACTCTCCTCACCCAGCCCCCACTTTTCGCATCACTTTTTACTGCACGAGCTATCTTAGAGCCTGGAACAGGCTAATCACGCCATGTCAAATTATAATGTTTACAGACGGTTAAGGACGAAACCTACCAAGTAAAACGTTAGTTGGACATCCCATGTTATGTCTTAAAGATTTACCGCCTAAATCGTTTTTGAATCTTCCGACTCGAGGCTTCAACATCATAGTGGCAACTAGCCCCGCTACCCCTCCCACCAGGTGAACCGGACTTGCTCCTCCCATGTCAATCACACCCATTTCCTTTAACCAGCCTTTTTCTCCCCACACCCAGTGGGCTGGGAAGCAATATGTCAGGGTGTTTGTAAAAGCAAAGATAGTCTCTCACCTGTCTGCTCTGGGACCACTTTATTTTGCAAAGCAGGAACTGGCTTCAAATGACACTCAGCATTTATCTGCGATTGGTCGATTCCATGTTCACAAGCGTCCGCTCCAAGTATTTCCTCCTTCAGCGACAATCTGAGCCCTACAGACTTGTCAATGATAACAAGTTGTATTGTAACAGTAACAAGAGTCCATGCAGTAATGGCCACACATGCCAACAGCTGTACTCCCAGTATTCTAACATGGCCTCCCTTGAAAGCACCATATGTTGATGAAAATGGCCTCTGAAGGCTGTCTTTCTCTACAAACAGGCCAACAGCTATCATTCCCCATATTGAACCACCCGCGTGGGTGGAGACTGCGCCGACAGGATCATCGATGTGGAATTTGTTGAGAACTTGCCAGCCAAAGATGGCAATAGCTGAACCAATGAAACCAATAGCTAAACTCTCCCCAGGCCTCACGCCCCCACAAATGGCTGTGATGCTGACCAGGCTACCAAGTATACCCGCCATAAAGAAAGGAATGTCCAACCTGCAGAAGAAATTCTTACTAAGTATAGCCGTTTCTATGGTAATGAGAAGAAATAAGCGACCTTCTGCGTGGCTTGAATGTCATTCGCATTCATTTGATAGTTCTCAATGATAACAGAACCAAAGAGCAAGGAACACACTAAACCCGTGGTATAGTCAATACCCTCTCTTGTGCCCAACCATGATCACCCGCACAATGGCAGCCATGAACAGCGGTTCCTTTCTTGTTGATACTCATCGGTAAGACAAGAACACGACCCCCTTCAACGCCCTGTAGCGAGTGCTACACAAATATTTACTTACAGGGTTTGTGTTCGAGTTTCTTCCTTGCTGTTTTATTTTGTTTCTTTATCTTGTTTCTTGGTTGGTCAGAGTTTTTTCTTATTACAAGAGACAATACAACAAATGCAAATATGGCGGACCTCTCGAACGGCCTGGGTCTAGCTGCGCGAAAGGGAGGCTAGCGAGGCTTTCAGAGGTCTATTTTTGGCCTCTTGCTCATTAATAAAATTTTGCATCGAAATTTTTGTACGCTGTTATGGAAACTATTAATTGATGAAAAAAAAATTACCTGTTGCATTTAAAGTAGCTGTAGAATGTAGCAAACATTCCGCCACCACAAGAGGCATTTATGGTACACACCGCTGACCGTGAAGCAAGTTTCCATTTACCACCGCTGACCCCAAAAGTGCTGCCACAGTTAAAACCCAGCCAGCCCCACCAAAGCATAAACATACCTACATGTAAAAGTAATTAATAACAGTGAAAAAAGTATCGTAGTTAACTTGTGCATAATTATTAAAATAACAAAAGTCAGAACACAAAAAAATGAAAAGTAAAGTTAACCAAAATAGGAGAGGTGTTCAGTAAACGAGAACAAAAAGGGTCGCAAGGGCATTTTAGGCACAACTTTTTGTCTAAATACGGAGATTAAGTTGCAAAGGTCATCAGGAGGTAATTCAATTTGTTTTTTACCTGACGTGTTGAAGCAGTCAAAGCTAGTCGATAAGTATAGTCATTTGTCCGGGAAACGTATGGTGAGGGCGACAATGGACCTGTTTTCTAGGCCGATTTCATCTCTGCGAGACCCTTTAGGTTAAAAATTGGCCCGGTTAATCCTTCTTAGCGCGTAAAGTGGCCGATATGTTGGGACTAAATATCATCCTGGTGTCAGTGTCGGGCACCTAGGTAGTAGGGACTCGCGAAAATAAAACAACTCAAGCGAAGATAGCACGCGCGCGATCTGGAGAAGAGAACTCTCCCCAGCCCCCACTTTTCGCATCATTTTTTACTGCACGAGCTATCTTGCAGCCTGGAACAGGCTAATCACGCCGTGTTAAATCATAATGTTTACAGACGGTAAAGGACGAAACCTACCAAGTAAAACGTTAGTTGGACATCCCATGTTATGTCTTAAAGATTTACCGCCTGCATCGTTTTTGAATCTTCCGACTCGAGGCTTCAACATCATAGTGGCAACTAGCCCCGCCACCCCTCCCACCAGGTGAACCGGACTTGCTCCTCCCATGTCAATCACACCCATTTCCTTTAACCAGCCTTTTTCTCCCCACACCCAGTGGGCTGGGAAGCAATATGTCAGGGTGTTTGTAAAAGCAAAGATAATGTAGGCTTTCAAGTTCATTCTCTCAGCGACTGCACCCGACACTATGGTTGTTGCTGTTGTCGCAAACGAAGCTTGGAAGCAGTAAAGAGCGAACACCTCTCCCATGCGTGTCTCTTCTGCGTCCGTAAAAAAGTTTCCGAATCCAGAGAACGCGTTCACACCACGGTCATTTCCAAAAGTAAACGCAAAGCCGAACATCCAGAAACCTAAACCACCAAATATCACATCCACTGCGTTTTTTACCATAATGTTTGCTTCGTTCTTCCTAGAGACCATACCTAAGGATACAAGCATATCAGATGATGTAACATCAGCTATTAGGCTAAGCTCCAAAGGGAAAAAAGAAAATGCAAGTAAGTTAGTATTTAATTCATTTTTACGGNACCCCTCCCACCAGGTGAACCGGACTTGCTCCTCCCATGTCAATCACACCCATTTCCTTTAACCAGCCTTTTTCTCCCCACACCCAGTGGGCTGGGAAGCAATATGTCAGGGTGTTTGTAAAAGCAAAGATAATGTAGGCTTTCAAGTTCATTCTCTCAGCGACTGCACCCGACACTATGGTTGTTGCTGTTGTCGCAAACGAAGCTTGGAAGCAGTAAAGAGCGAACACCTCTCCCATGCGTGTCTCTTCTGCGTCCGTAAAAAAGTTTCCGAATCCAGAGAACGCGTTCACACCACGGTCATTTCCAAAAGTAAACGCAAAGCCGAACATCCAGAAACCTAAACCACCAAATATCACATCCACTGCGTTTTTTACCATAATGTTTGCTTCGTTCTTCCTAGAGACCATACCTAAGGATACAAGCATATCAGATGATGTAACATCAGCTATTAGGCTAAGCTCCAAAGGGAAAAAAGAAAATGCAAGTAAGTTAGTATTTAATTCATTTTTACGGTAAATTTGTAAGTACAGATCGATTTGCCATTTGCCTGTTCCACATGAAGGGATGTTTAATCTAATAGATATTTTTCATCGCGGTTGTCATCTGCAAGGGATATTTTTGTCTTCCGAGCCACTGCCTCTTTGCATGACGTCAGACTTCCCCTTTTCCTATCGATATCACTACGAATGACGTCAATCGCACTGATATGATGGTTTTACACCCTTTTTTCCAAATTTGGTCCACACTTGCTGGCTGGGGGACTTAAGCCAATCAGAAAAGGGAAAATATTTTGAACGAGTATTGGGATATGATTATGTGACACAATCATCAGTAAGAAAAGTAAATCTGGATATAAATTACCTTGTCTTTTGGTAAATAGGTATTGCTAATAAATTACAGGCAACATATGAATTTGCACGGGAAAATGGATGATTATCATGATAAATATAATATGAAATGTAAAAATCAAGAAAATTTTCTTGTATTTTTCAACATGCCAAATATTGGCCCTTTAATAAGTTACTATTTTTCGAGAACCATGGATGTTATTTACTTCGAGTGAATGTCAAAATTTTAAAATACGCGATGAAAAAGGAGAAAAGCCAGACGCGTATTTTGAAAAACTTTACATTCACTCGATTAATTGCGTTGCACAGTTTCTTCAATTTTTGGTGTTTTTATGTCTACAAGTGTTGGTCGAGGAAATGTTGAAGCCGGAAAAGTATCGAAAAATGAATTACCATATTTCAGAGTTTAGAGGAACATATCGCCTACGAAACAGGAAAGTTTTAAGCAAAAAAATTGTAAACCAAATATGTATAAGCAAGTTCGAGGTGTCGAGGTGCTGTACATTCAATGAACGCTTCTCATTCGAGAACGTTTGAAATAAAAAAAGAGAGATTACAGCCACGATCAGGGAAAACTAGTAATGATTAATACAACTTACCAGATTCTACAAGGCCAAATCCAGAAATCATCGTAAAGATGATGAATGCACTTGTTAATATCCACACAGCGTCACCGGCACCGTTCATGCTAACTCGGCTACTAGAGCTTCCGCTAACCGACTCCTCATCGTTCATTGTTGTAGAAAATGTTGGATTATTCGAGAAGTTTGTCGGTGCTTCCATCATAGGTGCCCAGTGAATATTTGCGCAGACCGGTTTGAGACGGCGAAGATTGTTGAAAGAAGTATCTCTTGTGTTTACTTGAAAAGTGACCATGACGTTCATGAAAAGGCAAATAGAGTGTTATATTATTAAAAATGCGTATCATAAAATCTATATTTTATCTCCTCATGTCCTGTTGAAAGGGATGAACGGTGTGGCAAAAGATACACAAGCTTTTTTAAAGAAGAAGGAAAGTCAATTCGTTGCCAAAAAAATTATCCCGACCGGTAGCTATGTGCAGATGAAGGAACGAACAATTTTTTAGATCGCACCCTTTTAAAAAGGATCAATGCACCGCTATTCAAGAATTATAAGAAGTAAATAAATAAATGCAATTTATGCGAATAAATGCAATTTTGTATTTCAACGATTCTGCAGTGCTGGCGGGTAATATCTGACAGATACTACTCGTCTGTAATTTTAGACAAGCCTTCGACTACACACTATACTATTAAACGGCGAAGTCTCCTTGAACGCTTAATTTTCGATTCGGAGATTATATAAAAGATTCAATTAAAGTATAGTGCGTGTTAAATAATTTAGTTTGATATATGAAATTTCTAAATGTCTCTTCTCTGCGGTTCTTTCCTGATTAAGTTACAGAATAACGTTGCAATAACATTCTCCTTTGCTAATCCACAGCTTATACTTACCTTCGTTACTGTATGAAGCTCCTCAATCAAGAAATAAAACCAATTCTTTCATCTTCCCTGCCTCAGTTGTAATTCAGTTCTTTCTCCTGTACTTAAACGAAAACGACACAATTTGCGGCGAAAGTAATGCTTTCGTGTTATATACCTTTAGGCTATTTCCAAGGTATAGCCACTTGCCTATTCCAGACGTGATATAAAAATTTCCTCTTGAATTTCTTGACTTGTACTCAAAGACGTCAATAGCAGATTTAAATGCAATGAGCGAACGCCTTTAATGAAACGTGCCACCGTGACAATGGATTTTTTTTTATATTTAAATCATTTTCGGCGGGGTAATCTCTACAGGTTTTTTTTTATGGCGCAATATAATATTTTGAATAATTGAACGGTTAAAAAGTGACCGGAGGGATGTTACTCATTTGAATTAGTTTATATATCCATCTGTTTCATCTGTCNACGTTGCAATAACATTCTCCTTTGCTAATCCACAGCTTATACTTACCTTCGTTACTGTATGAAGCTCCTCAATCAAGAAATAAAACCAATTCTTTCATCTTCCCTGCCTCAGTTGTAATTCAGTTCTTTCTGCTGTACTTAAACGAAAACGACACAATTTGCGGCGAAAGTAATGCTTTCGTGTTATATACCTTTAGGCTATTTCCAAGGTATAGCCACTTGCCTATTCCAGACGTGATGCAAAAATTTCTTCTTGAATTTCTTGACTTGCACTCAAAGACGTCAATAGCAGATTTAAATGCAATGAGCGAACGCCTTTAATGAAACGTGCCACCGTGACAATGGATTTTTTTTTTATATTTAAATCATTTTCGGCGGGGTAATCTCTACAGGTTTTTTTTTTTATGGCGCAATATAATATTTTGAATAATTGAACGGTTAAAAAGTGACTAGAGGGATCTTACTCATTTGAATTGGTTTATATATTCATCTGTTTCATCTGTCAATGAAGCAACGTTAATGCCCGGGAGGGAGGAGGGGGGGTACTCCGTATAATTTCGTATACTGGGAAAGTCCGTCCGAAAGGGGGCTTTAGGTTTATGAAAGGGTAGACAAATCTGTCATTTCGGTCGTAAAAAGGCCCAAAGGGCTAACAAATGCATTTTATGGCTGTGAAAAAGTCGAAAAAGCGTGCTGATGTTTTAAAAGGGATACAAAGTTCTAAACTAGGTATATGAAAGGTGTACCATTTGTCAATAGAAGGTTTACCAAAGGGGTATCGGCCCTTTTCTGCCAAAAATGGTATATAAAAGGGTAAGGGAATGGACCTTAGGGCGGAGCCTCCCCGTACAAAGCTCTGTTAAGTACCCCCCCTCCGCAGCATGATGCACCTGCGCTCTTTTGGTACAATCAACCAGATATGCTTTTATAGTTGCTTTCACTGATGTGTAATTATTTTTATATGGTTTCAAAATAAGTTAGTTCCGCCGTTGAATTCTACTCCGTACGGTAACAGGTAGCAGCCAACTCGTTATTTCTAGGGGTTTTCTATTTCTTAAAAACGCAAAGAGTACAACGACTCTGCTTTAATTAACACTACATGATAAAAGGCAGGAAAATCAATTGGATCTCAGGTAGTTTGATAATTACTCGCCATTCCATTTTCATTCAGCTTTGAAAACCAAAAAAGTAAGAAAGTCCTGCTAGCAGAAAAAAAAAAGATCCTAAAAATCTCTTGATACTATTACATACGATAGATAAAAATGAAATACATTTTGAATAATGCATTTTTATCATCACTGCTATTTTTTTTACATATAGCTGGCCATCGATCATTCTCCGTCTTTGAACAAGGACTCTTGACCAAAAAAAACTGTTTAAAAAATAAAGATAAGCTTTTTCCTGTAATGAAAATCATGTCATTAGTGATAGTTGTTTACTTATGGACTGCAGTGGATTGGGAACGAAAAACACTGCGCTTCACATTTAATTTATTTTTTTCGTTTCACAATTTACATTGCAAGTGACTGTCAGGCGATAATTAACAGCGAAGAATATATTTCAGAGAAGGATTATTATTTTAGATTCGCCAATTTTACACAAGAACTGAAAAGCAAAATACTGACCAAAAAGCAAGATAAGAAAAAGAAATAAATTATGAAGCGAACATAAGTATATCGAGAGTGTTTCTTTGAACGAGTACGCTGTATAATTAGCACCTGCAAGACTTCTACTGGTTATATTTTTAGCAATAATTATTTTAAACGCCTACTGCTTTGAGTGAATACCTTGTCTGATAAACCCAAACATTAGGATGCCCACCTATATACTTTACTACTTTTAAGACCTTTTAACCATTTCTAATCAAATGGGTTATGAAAAGGCCACCTTAATAACATTTATTTTAAAAAATATGATATAGATAATTTTCTCTTCGTAAAATCAGAAAGTCCAGCTAGAGTGTATTTCAAGAAAATAGCTATCTAAAGGAAAGAAAAATGCGTAACTTAAACCTCAGCAATGCAAAGCCTGCTACTCTATGAGGGGTTTTAGTGCAGCCTTTTTCTAGAGTAGAATCCTGTTTGTTCTCGATTCGCAGGTGAAGGAGATCTCCAATGAACTGAGTGATATATCAGTAAAATGGATGATAAAATCAATTATTGAGAAAGGCAGCTTATTTTTGTCAACAAAGGCACAACACAATAAAAGTTTTGTAAACACATATCATATCTCTTAAAATTACGTAAGAAGTTTACAGTTTTGTGTACGGTAGGGGATAAAGTCATCATCATGTGGTCGTTTTGGATTTGAAGGGTCGTTTCTTGAAAACAGTTTATTTTAAGTGAAACTTGAAAACAGCANTTTGGATTTAAAGGGTCGTTTCTTGAAAACAGTTTATTTTAAGTGAAACTTGAAAACAGCAACAAATCGCGATCACCTTAAGCAACTACAAGGATGAACGAAACCCAAAACATTGCCAACTTTTCTAGCAACTCTTCGAGCCAGTCGCCTCCTGCAGATGATGCCGGGTCACTTAATTCAGACGATGCAACCTGGATTTTAACAAGCGCGTTCATCATTTTTACAATGCAATCAGGGTTTGGACTTGTAGAATCCGGTATGATCAGCTCTAGAGTTCCTTTTAAACTTTGAAAACTATGAATGCGTTGAAAAGTTTAAGATTTATTAGAGTGGTTTTTTTTAAAGAGTTTGACACCGGTGCAGGTCTGAAAAAAAAAGGAGTATCTAACAACAAAGATTTAATTAGGTAAATCATCTTAGTGCGTCAAAGCGCCGGACTGCAGACAAGCATAAAGGAATTTTATTTTAAAATATCTTAAAACTTTAAAACTTAAAAGCTTAAAATTATTAAAGAACATGAACGAGTGATACATCAACGAATGATCATACTAATTAAATTAACTACTAAAAAAAAAATTAAAATATTGGGTATTCTCTCTAAAATTCGTCGATGTTTTTTTTTTCACTTCATGGCGTGTGAAAAAAATGTTTCGAGATTAAGATTTGTTTACTTTAATTCCTAAATAGGTATGCAGTGGTGAATTTGTGGTAAATATCTGTAAACTTGCACTCCTTTTTACTTCTCCGTGACATGTAAGGAGCTAGCAGAAAAAAATTTAAGCCTAAATTAATTTCTATTGAGATTGGAATCATTCTTTATTCAATCTTTAGGTTTAGTTTCCAAGAAAAACGAAGTCAATATTATGGTAAAAAATGCTATTGACGTCATATATGGCGGCCTTTCCTATTGGTTGTATGGATTTGCTTTCAGTTTCGGTCTCGAAAAGGGAACCAATGGATTTTGTGGAATAGGTAAGATAAGCTGATAATGAACTGCCATTATAAAACTGCAAATAAAATAGTATAGCATTTATTTGCTTCTATGTTATTCCCGATAATCTACAGCATCTTTTTCTTTGGCAAAAGAGAGTTTGCTCCATATCCTTAACTTTATATTTATTACCCTTCTCTTGGTAACCAACCTAAGACTATGTACACACACTATGTAAAATGTCAGCAAGTCCACAGCAACAAACCAATGAGTGGTGCCGGATCTCCCAGTTGTTGACCTGGATCAGTACAATTAAACTTGTAGAAAAATATGAGACGGCAAACTGATCCTTACGGCAAGGCGATGAAGAAGTAAACAAAAGAATAAAACAGAAAAATATATATTTGAAACAAATCGCCCAATTTGTTTAAATATATATTTTTTTGTTTTATTCTTTTGTTTGCTTCTTCATCGCCTTGCGGTACATCCTCGAAGACCCAGGGGCAGTTAGTCGGGTCGATAAAATATTCGTGATGAAAGTTTTCCGTAAGATCGAGACGAACTCGTCTCGATATTACAGAA